GTCTGTTCAGTGCTGCATCTTTCTCTGTTTTCATTATGCGGTGTCTTGGGAGGTTCTGTGCACTGAGATGCCCTGTCCTCTCCTGGTCATGGATGATCTGCACCCAAGGACACCTGAGCCAGGCCTAGCCAATCACAGCCTCTCTCTTTAGAGTTTGGAGTGGTACCCAAATATACCAGTCAGCACCTGTTGGCATAAGCAGACCTTTTTGACTGCAAGCCCAGAGAGACAAGGACTCTCTGTGAGTATGTGTGTATGTGTGTGTGAGAGAGTGTGTTTTTATGTGTTTATATGACCATTAGTGTATTTGTGGGTGTATGTGTGTAAATGTACACGAGTGTGTGTATGTGTGTGAGTGTGCGTGAGAGTGTGTGAGTGTATTTGTGTGTGTATGTGTGTGAGTGTGCATGAGAGTGTGTATACGTGTGTGTGCATGAAAGTGTGCGTATGTGTGAGTGTGTGCATGTGTGTGAGTGTGTGTATGTGTGTGAGTGTGTGTATGAAGATGTAAAGAGATCTGTGTGCCTGTGTGATGGGAGAGATCAGAGGAAACTTCTAGCTGCATTTTGTTTTCAGACCTTGAATTCCACAACCCAACCCCTTAATCCAACAGAATGGCACTATTTCTGACTCCTCTGAGTTGGTTCCTATTGTGTGGAGGCCAGAGAACGGCTGTGTGTGTCATTCCTCAGGTCTCAGTTCTCACTCCCCCCACCCCAATTGAGGCAAGGTCTCTGACTAGCCTGGAGCTCGCCAAACAAGTAGAGTGGGTTGTCCAGTGACTCCCAGGGATGCTCATGTCTGTACCATGTGATGTAGACATTTGCTTTGTTGGTTTTTAGCGGGTTTTGGAGCACAAATTTAGGTTCTGAGTTTTTACTATTGGAGTCTTGTCTCTGGTCCCTTTGAACTTCCTAGAATCATTTGATTTCTGCTGATTATAAGTAAAAGAGGGCTCACAAGACTAGTGAGGCTTTGGAATCCCATTGGACAGATACAGAACCTAAGCCTCCACTTCATTCATCCCTGGCTCTGGTCTCACCTTCGTAATCTCAAGTAGGCAATTCTGGCCTCTTCTTCAAAAAGGCTTGGACAACATCATCTACTTCATGTGGTTGGGTGGGAGTGCCTAAATCTTAAGTGAAAACCATGAAAAAAGTTCCTAGGAAGGACAGAGATCTCTGCACCAGCCAGCCAGTGGAATTCCGCCCCTCATTCTCTCTTGCCAGGAGGACAGGGTCACCTGCTAAGGAAGAATTGGTTGACTCCATGGTTGGGCTCCTAGAAATCACAGCTCACTGCAGGTGTTGGGGTGGGAGAGAGCTTCATACGGGAGATCCAGACATTTCCTGACTTTGACAAGCCCAGGTACAAAATGAAAAAGCTTTCGAAGGTGCTACTATGTATCTGCTGATGGGATCATTTTGCCTGTCTGTTCTATCATTGAGCAGTTTGGGTCTTGCCCACTGAGCAGTCCCAAACTACCCTGCCTGCTCTACCTGCCACCTTCCTCCAGGCCACCCAGAGGTCTTCTGTGTTGTCAGGATCCTTCCCTCAAAGCCCTCTATTGGAATTGAGTCTCCTTGTGGCATGGCTCCCCGTCACTGCTTCCTACCAGTAAGGGTCTCTGGTGAGACCCAGAGTACCTATCCTCTAACTCCAGGAGGTCCACAGGACACTCTCTCAATTGTACATGTGTCCTGCTTGCTGTGACTTAGGGAATATGTGGGCCCAGTTATAACCGGGTTTATTAAGCTTGGTATTCTTTCCACGGCCCAGATAGGGGAGTGCAGCTGGGACATTTCTTCTTGGGTCTGTTACTCCAGGGCACAGACTTTATACATCGTTGCTGGATACTCTCTGGGGCTTCTGTACAGATGAGGTTCAGGTCTTCTGACCTATGGGTGGGGTAGAAGCAGAAGATCCGTGCAATGGTTCCAGAAGGAATAGGCTGAGGAGGACCACAGGATTTCACAAGCTAGAGGTGACGGGCCGTCGTCTATCATTCATTCCCTGTTGCTAGTCACTGGATCCCTCTGGGAAATTTTGGTAGAGGATGTTTTCTCCCCTCAAATGTATGGGTAGACAAGAGTTGTTCAGAGAGTAGTTTCTGGATCCTTAGACCTATGCAAGGCCCTATAAACTCAAACTCATGTTCTGGAGAGACCCGCTATTTGATGAAGATCCTGGGCGAGGATGCTCCACGCACAAGCCAGTCAGGTATGACTTTCCTTGGAATCTTTGCTGTGACCCTGGACTGGACTGGGCCCTTCATCTTGCACCTGTGCGCCTCACCTTGTCCAGGCACTACAGTGGTTTGGAAAAGGGTGCTTTTAGGCAAGCAGCTACTGGGAATGTGATGGAAATGTTAATTATTGGTCCCTTACCTCAACTGGTTGAATTAAAAACTCCAGGGTGAGATCTGCTAATCTGGAGGATGGTTCAGGTTTGAGAAGGGCTGGGGCAAGATTTTCTTTATCTGCCTTGCTAGACACAGATATACAGTAATTGCTCAGTGACCAATTATTGCATCTTGTTTTCCTGGTTCTCAGAGTAGGGCTTTTCTCTCGATACACATCACACTGTGGGGCTCCTTCCTTTCGAGTCCAGGGCATCGTATCAGGCTTAGCTTAGGCAAAGGAGGGGACCTGGCCAGGAGGCAGATGCTCTGAAAACAGTACGTAAGATGTAGAGTCTGAAACAAAAGCGTCTTCAGATACCAAGGCTCCTGCATCCCAGAGGAAGCAAGCAGGCAGGGGGCTATGTGGCAGTAGTAAGCAAGGGTTTTGCCAGGCTCAACCAACTGCCAGCTCTCCTCCATACCTGATCCACACTGGCCTTGGCAGATGCTGCCAGATCTTTGCCAGGAATGTACTTGTTAGGCTTTGGGGAGAAGAATCTTTTTTTATTTTTTTCTTTTTTTAATCTTAAATGAATCACTGACTTCAAGGTTTCCAGAAGTTACTAGAAGATTCCTTTTAACTTCTTATATGAGTATTTGCCGTTCAGGGAGTGAGAAGTGGGTGTCTTCACCCTGTTTCTTCCATGGAGGGTAGAATTTCCACAGATTCATTTTTCCAGGGAAGCAGTGTCTTTAAAAAATAAGTACCTGTGTGTGTGTGTGTGTGTGTGAGTGTGTATGTGCGTGTGTGTGGTGGGGAAGTGGTTCTAAGGGGACGATTCTCGAGCTCTTCCTGTCTAGGGGAGTTTGCTTTTATTTTATTTATTTATTTATTTATTTATTTATTTATTTATTTATTTATTTATTAACTATTTCTGTCTCTTCCCCACTCCCTCCCCCTCCCCCAATAAAGTCCCCCTCCCTCGTCAGCCCAAAGAGCAATCAGGGTTCCCTGCCCTGTGGGAAGTCCAAGGACCACCCACCTCCATCCAGGTCTAGTAGGTGAGCATCCAAACTGCCTAGGCTCCCACAAAGCCAATATGTGCAGTAGGATCAAAAACCCATTGCCATTGTTCTTGAGTTCTTAGTAGTCCTCATTGTCCGCTATGTTAAGCGAGACTGGTTTTATCCCAGGCTTTTTCAGACCCAGGCCAGCTGGCCTTGGTGAGTTCCCTATAGAACATCCCCATTGTCTCAGTGTGTGGGTGCACCCCTCGCGGTCCTGAGTTCCTTGCTCGTGCTCTCTCTCCTTCTGCTCCTGATTTGGACCTTGAGATTTCAGTCCGGTGCTCGCTCAAAGGCCCAGAACTCGCTCAAAGGCCCAGAAAATATTTTTAACAAAATTATGGCAGTTTGCTTTTTAAACATGAAAAACCCTACACATGTCTCCTTAAGGTGGAGTCAGGAAAAGCAACCGTTTACAACCCTTAATTTCTACACACGCGTGTGTGTGTGCACACACAAAACAAAACAAAACGAAAAAATCAAAATCAAATCAAGCAACCAAACAAAAACATACCCCTATTGTTCTCTCAAGGGAAGGGTAAGGAATGTGTTGGTTCCTTTCTAGTCTGATAGATGGCAATTCTTCAACTTTTAATTCTAGCACTCACCCGGTTGTGGGAAAAAATCTAGGGCTTTCTCTACATAGGCCAGGCCTTTCTGTTTTATTATTTTAAAATCTATTTTGGGGAGTGGGAGGACAAAAACAAAACACATAAACTCTCTTAAATCTTCCTAAGTCATAAGGAGGAAGGAAACTCCTAAAGAAAGAAAAAGTTTGTATTTTTGTAATTTAGGATTTTTCAAAAAACCAACCCCTTCACCTTTCAGTTAAAGTAAGGGCCTTTACTCAAAATTTTCTTTTTTTAAATTGGAGGAGGGGCTGACCCTTGTTCAACCTTCCACCTCTCTTTTTACCATAGGGCCAGTTTCTGAGCTTTTTTTTTTCTTAAATGATTTTAAGTTTTTTTGGCAGAGGAGGGTAAAAGAGTCCTTCACTGCCATTACACAGAACAGAGGCTCCCCAAATAGTAAATTAAAAATCAGACTTGCTGGGGGAAGGGAGAGTCCCCCCTGGCCCTCAGTTCTCAAATTTATGGGGAGGGGGTAAGGAAAGCCTGGGCTATCCGGATATTCCCAGGAAGCCTTCCAATTGCGCTCTTCGAAACTTTTATTTTAAAATTCAATCTGATTTTGGGGGTGGGGGTTCTGGGGAGGGGAGAGGCGTTCCCCTTAACCCCTTCTGTGCCAACAGAGGCCGCTCCCCAAAACTTTTCGGTGCCCCCACCCCCGCCCCACGCGAGCAGATGCCCCGCGCACGGGGCTGGCGCTGGAAAGTTTGGGGGGCCAGCGGCGGCGCGGGGGCCCGGAGGCTTTGTGTGCGGCGCGGGGCGGCGCGGAGGCCGGCGGCGGAGGCCGAGGAGAGGCTGGGGGCCGGCGGCTGCTCGGAGGCCGGCGGGGGCGGTGCGGGGCGCGGCGCGGCGCGGCGGGCGCGGGCCGGCGGGGCGATCTGCGGTCCCCGCGGCGGTCCCCCCGGCGCCCCCGGCCCCCGCCCCCCGGCCCGCGCGGGGCGGGCGGAGGAGGGAGCGGCGGCGGCGGAGGCGGCGGCGGCAGTGGTGGCAGCGGCATTGTGCGCGCGGCGCAGCCCGGCCCGGGAGGAGCAGGACGCGCTGGGGCCGCCTCCTCCCGCACGGACCGATGAGCCAGCCGGGCGGCGCGGCGGCTCCGCAGGTAACGCGGGACCGGGGCCGGGGCGGGGGCCGCGGCAGCCCCGCAGCTTGTCGAGCGCGGTCGCCGGCTGGGGGCTCGGGAGCGGGGCCGGGCGGCCGGGGTGCGGGAGCGGCCCCCCTGGGGCGCTGCGGGGTGCGGGCGGCGCGGGGGCGGCGGCCGGGGCTGACGGGGATCCAGCACCGGGCGCCCCCCGCAGCCCCCTGCTCGGACCGGAGCCCAGAAACAAAGCGACGAGAGCACGGAGCAGCCATTGCAGTTTGGACAATTCAGATTTTGCGAAAATGCAACCTTCTTCCAGCTCTCCCCCTCCCCCGAAATTTGCAATTTCCCCCCTGACCCGCTCTGCTCTCAGGGTCCCTGGCGACTCCCCGCTTCCACCACAGGAGAGCTTTTCTTCCAGGTCCCCATCTTTGCAACAATCTTTTTTTTTAAAGGCCATATTTCCTTCTTTCAATTTTTTTTCTAAATTTTCTTCAAACGGTAGTTTTTTTCCCATTAAAACGACGCCACCTAGAGGATACTATTTTGTAAATAATAAAAAAAGAAATTAAAATTGAAAAGAAATATTTTTTATTTCTTATTTTTTTCAAAGTTTCCTCTACAAGGCAGTGGAGGGGGGAAAAGATTCTTTTTTTCTATCTTTTTTGCAATGAAAATTTTCACTTTGATCCTTGAAGGAACATGGAGACAATTTTTATTTCTGAAGCTAAATCCAGATAATATGTAAATGAAAATTAAGCTGGAATTTGAATGAATTCAATTCTTGAAGTGGAGAAAGCAGAAATACTCCTTAAAAGCAAAGACAGTTTAGGAACCCAAGTCATTTTAGTTTGAGGGGGGAAAAACTACCTGGAATGGGGAAAGGAGGGAGATCGTTCAGTTTGGGAAAAGCAGGGAGAATTGGCTTTTTGAAGCAATTAGAAATTGTGTTTCATTGTATTTGTGCCTTGTTTTGTTCGGTCGACAAAAATGACTGATTTTACCTTTTGTCAGTCTTCAAAGTTTTTCCATTTCCAAGAAAGAAGCATTTAGAAGAGAAAATGATCCTAAAATGTTGGCTTTGGACACACCCAAGAATTGTAGCTTGATTTTTTTTCATTTACATTTTACTGCTTTTAACTCCTAAGAGTCTAAGAAAAACAGGAACTGGAAAAGTTAGAGTGAAATCCTGCCTGCCTTTTTTCTGGTTTTTGTTAGTGTGTGTGTGTGTGTGTGTGTGTGTGTGTGTGTGTGTGTATGTGTGTGTGTGTGTGTGTTTTGCTTTGATGGAATAATTATGGCTGTTTCCTGATTTTGTTTGCTGCAAGGTCTAAGCATTTCTTGTTTTGTTTATTTATCTAGAAAATGTCAGGGACCTTTTCTTGAGCAATATTCAGTGGGGAAAAATGTCAATTTATATATTGTACGAACTGAGTAGCCCACAGATTTGTCGGAGAGGCCGCCATTAAAATAAGATATGCATAATTAACATTATTATGAAAAACTACAGTGGATTCACAGAAACCCATTTTTTATGACACGCAAGTGACTCAATTGATGAAGATAAGGATTAAACAAATCCTTGTTAAAGAGAATTTCTCCTTCTTAATCTTGTTCATTTTCCCTACTAGAATATTATTATTATTTTAAAATTTGTATTGGCTTCAGGTTTCTTTGTGATGTGGATTTGGAAGTTTATTAATATTTTGTATTTTTCATATTTTTTATTACCTTCAAAGGAGAAGAAATTTATTAGCCTTGATCATTTGGAGTGTGTGTGTATGTGTGTGTGTGTGTGTGTGTGTGTTGGGGGGTAACAACAATAACAAAAAACACAAATTTTACTGATCCAGCAAGAAAAAAAGATGAAAGAGAATGGCAAAGAGATGAAAATTCTGATTTGTATCCATCTTCCCTGGGAAACACACTTTACTGAAGAAATAGGCTAAAACACCAACTCAGCTATTTCTAGCAACAAAATTTATTATTTTCTTTGAAAGAAAAACTAATGAGAATACACACAAAAGCCAAACCAGAGATGCTTGCCTTTGGAATGTGAAGTCATTTTACAAACAGGATTTTATGAGTCAATGGAGGTGAAACAAAAAAGAAAAAAAAATTCAAATGACAAATATTGACTGGATTGAAAAATAAGATTTCTGCTCTGAGACGGAGGGAAATTTGTGATAAATTAAATTAGAGTCTGATTGGATGTGCTGAGAAAAAAATAGAAGTTCAAAATTTTCAGTCCAAAAGGCGTATGTTGGTAGCAATTGGGGGGATCATGTAGGACCTAAAGTGGGAGCTGGGGCGGGTTACCTGGGGCGGGCTACCTGGGGCGGGCTACCTGGGGCGGAGATGGACTACCCTGGACCCAGGATCAATAGCCAGCGAGTCTTGGTGACCTGGCAGTCCTAGTCCAGGCCTGGTCAACCTTGTCTTATGGTGATCAGGCTTCCGAAGGGCTCCTAATTCTGTGACAGGAATAAATGGATTTAACAGTGGCACAGTTTTGACAGTCCCATCACCGCCATTGCATTTTAATTTTAATTTATTTTTTATTTTTGTCACAAAATCCTTCAAGGCTGACTGGCCACATTCTGACATATTTGGAATGAGTTTTTTTTTTTTTTTCGCCCCCGTTAAGTAGCATAGTTAAAATAATATTTTTCCATTGAATTATTTAGGACAGTGTCTTTACGGTCAAGGAATTCTGGAAGGTCAGGAGTTCTGGAAGCCTTGTGAGGTCATGGGCTCAAGTTTAGCAGGGCTGGAGGAGGACTGAAGTCGGGACAGTTGGATGGTAAGGGCATCGGAGGAAAAGTCCGGGCTGAAGATAACAAGTTATCTCTAGTGCAAAGGAATGAGAATCTTTCTGCTCATCCTTTTGTGCAGCCTGCAGTGGGCCAAGCCACTCAGATTCCTGCAGTCCTCTGATGAACATTTTGTTTTGTGTCCTATAGTTATGGCATTTGCTCTGTTGACCTCCCCCTACAGAACTGGTCATTCTCATCATGTTCCCTGTGAAGGAAATAGAAAAAAAAGAGGGGCAAGCTGGTCCTCGTGGGGGCGGGGTTAGCTTTCTTTGTTTCTCTTGGTGTCACTGAGGTGTGAGCTGACCTGGGCCTCATCTCTCTGCTTCTACTCTCTCAGATGATTCGTGGCCACAAATGGATATAGGAGCTATTTTTATTAGTTCATGACTGTTTATCATGCTCATATAATATTGGCCAAAAGATTTGGCAAACTGGACTTGTGGGGTGGTGATGTGATGATGTCCTGGGTTATTTTGGTGAAAGATAATTTATACTTGCTCTCACAGTGGAGAGTCTTATTACTTAATGTTTTGCTTTTCTGCCCAAGGAGATTTTTTTTTCTAATAAGGTTTGAAATTTCAAGGACTAGACTTATAGTTTGACCTGGACCAAGCTAGGAAAAACAGCTTCCTTATACTTTGAGCTGTGCACAAGGCTTGCTTTTGCAGAACAACAAAAGACACGTGGCCTGTGGCTTGTGCCATTTGGGAACGGTTGTGAACTGTCCCAAGGTCAGACACAGTTTCTTCACTACCTTTGCCTCAGCCCTTGGTCCGCTCTCTCCACTGACCTCAGAATCCTTCTTCTTCGTGGGTGATGAGAACTTTCTCGTCCATTTGACTGGGTATAGACAGTCTGGCTTTTCATGGGTGTAGGGAATTCTCAGTACTTTCACTCTGTAGACTTTCACGACAGTTTGTGTCTCCTTTGTGGTTCCCGGAAGTGGCTTTGTAGGTTACTCAGGGCTAGCTCTCCCAAAGCCTTGATGATGGCCTTGGACAAATCACTCCTTCCTGTAGAGCTGGGCTTGTGAGGCGAGCACAGTAGACAAGTTACATGATGGGGTGCCTTGCTTTGGAGCCTCTCCTGGAATTCACTCTTGTAGACCAGGCTGACCGTGAACTCACAGAGATCCACCTGCCTCTGCCTCCTGAGTGCTGGGATTAAAAATGTGTTGCCACCATTGCCCGGCTCCTGATTCTGACTCTTAAGGAGTTAGCTGTAACTGCTTCATCATAGTGTAGAGAAAGCTGCTGAGGCCACATCTGGACTCCCATATTCTGGTGGCCAAATGACATGCATAGAGCTCTGAATGACTAGATCTCAGTTAGACTTAGAATCACTGTTTGTGGAAGAGTTGTAGAGTCCCTTGGTAAAGCAGTCCGCGTTAGAGAAGGGAAGAAAGAGAACACTGGGACAGAGCATAGAGCTACTTCATGCAATGTACAGGCAGCGTCTCCTGAAACAGACTTACCCGGGAGGATGTCTGCGTGTGACAGGAAGTTCATCTCTGCCCACCTGAAGGTGTTGAGCTAGATGGACTCCCTTTAGAGTAGCTGCCCTGGGCCACCTGCTTTATTCCTGTTTGAATGGCTTTTCAGCCACCTGTGAGTTCTTGGCTGTGGACATCAGGAGGCACATCCCAGCTTGCTGGCCTTGGAGGGACATTTGGGCAGGGGCTGTGTCCTCATGCTGGAGAGGTGATGGGGTGGTGTGGAGCTCTGTCTGCTGGCTCAGTGGCTCTCATGTTGCTTTCATTTCCTACTTCTTGTAAGTTTTCCAGAGAAGTCTTTTTGGAGTAGCCCCTATTGGGGCTATATTTATGCTTTAATCACTCTGGAAGTTTGTGGTTTTTTTGTTGTGTGTGTGTGTGTGTGTGTGTGTGTGTGTGTGTACGACTTCCTGAATTGCTGCCCTCATCATCTCGTTCTTTAAACATGTAGTTTAAAGTCAGAGTAGTGTGGTCTAACAGGAATAGAATTCAGACCACAAGTTGAAGCCACATATGTAGTTTCGCATTCTTTAGCAATCTATTAAAGACTACAAAGAAACAGGTGACATTGATTTGGTAAAATGTGTTTTAACCCTGAATTTGAACAGCGCCACCATTTTGACCCACCATCAATATAGAAAGTAATTAACGTGGCAGCAGTGGTTGTGGGAGGGAGCATGATATTGGAAATCTGTGAGCACCCCCTCAGTGGT